AAATAACTCCAGATATAAACCCTAATATCCAAAAAGAAGATCTGGAAGCGTAGCCCTAAATTCTGACTGAAACACATATTTATAGAAAACAGGGTCGCGATGCTCGCTCGAGCGAGGAGACTAAAGCGTGTGTTTTTCCAAATGTCTTCGCTCGAGCCACCAAAGTGTCGCTCGAGCGAGAAAAGCATCTTCTCAGTATTTTTACAGTCAGACGCAACTTCTGGGATCAGGGATTCTCCACTCGAGGGCACATTCCTTCGCTCGAGCGACCAAACAACTTCAAATGCATTTTGTCACTTTGCTTCAGGGGTGCTGTCCCTCAATCCTGCTGTGGCGCTGCCCCGGCAAACATGAAAGAATTATCTTTTGAAACTTCTTTACAAGGCACAATTCGGGTTGAATTCCCATCTAAATACTCATAGCCTCACTGAAATAAAACAGCGAATAAAAGTACAACTGAAAGGAGTTTTGTCAAACGGGATTGCCAAGAATAAAAACCTAACATGTTGAATTTGGTATGGGTTAGGAAAACAACTGACCAACCTGTTTATTTTATGAAACGCTTTTTCCAGTGGATAGTGGAATTAGTGGTGGTGGTAGTGGTAGTAGTAGTGATGGCTGAAAAATATGATCTGTAAAGATGTTCATAGGCGGTTCTGAGTCAGGATTTGTTTTTTAAAAAAATTCACTCTCCATTTGAGTGTATATATCATCCATGCTACATGCTGAGAAGGAACCAGACACAAAATACATAGATGTGAAACAAAAAATGTCTCATCTTTAATTGCGAACATTTGTCTGAGAACGTTTGTCTCACATTTGTGTATTTTTTATCTGATTCCTTCTGTGCACATAGACATTTGGGTGTATATATATGTATATATGTAGATCTATAATTACAGCCATGCATGTACTTACACTCCTAAATTGAGGTTACTGTATATCTAAAAATGAAGGGAACGATAGGAGGGCAAAGTAGTAAAAGTTTTGTATTTCTTTTGTTCTTCTTTCCTTTGTGGGGAGCTTCTATATACACACACCTAATCCCCTCTATACACACACTTAATGATATTTAATTTTATTACAATTTTATCCCTAAGTGAAATTACTATTTTAGACATCAACCAAATTCATCTTAATGCACACATCCAGACTTCACGTTCATCTCAATGCACACATCCAGACTTCACGTTGAAGCTGAAGCTTCAACCTTCCTTATTCGTAGCTTCTTTCTCATTCATTATTGATATGGAGGATTTGTCTTCTGAAAATCAGCAAATAAGTATTTATGAGAAACATAGCGAAGGAAATGCGAGTTTCTTTTCTTTCTTTTTTTTTCCAGCGTCGTTCGAATAACTAGAGCCGAATTGTGTTATTTGGTTCGGAAATCTACTACCGAAATAATTATTTATTTTCGAAGTTGTTGTTCCAGCGTCGTTCGGATAACCAGAGCCGAATTGTGTTATTTGGTTCGGAAATCTACTACCGAAATAATTATTTATTTTCGGAAGTTGTTGTCCGAACAAACTAATAAATTTCGGAAGTTGTTGTCCGAAAAAATTATTTAATTTCGGAAGTTGTTGTCCGAACAAAATTAACTTTTACAACATTCAACTTCCGAAAGTTGAAAATAAATTCGGACAACTACTTCCGAATGAAGTAAAAAAAAAAATTTTGCAAACTGTATACCAAATTTACAGTTTCGAATTCTCTAATTCTATCCCCAAACAAAGCTATACCATTTTTCAATTCCATGTTAGTATCCATTGAAGCTCAAACAAGTTTTCAAAAGGTGATCTCAAATACAATACGGAGTGATTGATTCATATAGGTATAAATTATGTTACAATAATTAAAATTTTAATACATTTTCTCAAATTATTTATCACTCAATAAGAGATTACCACAAATGTAAAAAGAATATACATAAGAAGGGAGCGAAAAAAAAAAAGAAAAAAAAGAAAAACACTGTTTGGAAGTTTAAAACCGAAAGTATATATACTGTTCGAAAGTTGGAATCCGAAACAAAAAATTAATTTTGGAACTTGATTTTTATTTGAATTTAATACATTCGGAAGTTGATTGCCGAAATAATCAAAACGTTTCGGAAACCTACTGTTGAAATAAATCACCAATTTCGGAATCCAACTTCCGAACAAATGAATTAATTTCGGCAAACCAGTTCCGAACGGTTTGTTTACACTCTGTGGGCCTTCGTCCGTTTTCAAAATGATAAAAACAAAACTCTACGTTTTGATTAATTCATTTGTGATTTATTTCAACAGTAGGTTTGTAATTTATTGTTACTGACAGAGGTTGAAGATGAAAGTTGTGTGTATGTATTTGGGGATGAAAGCTGTGTATGTGTATTTGCACATGGTAAGCTTCAATGGGTGTGTGTATCCTCAAGGTTAAAGATGTAGCTTAAGCTTCAATGGGTGTATGTATCCTCAAGGTTGAAGATGTAGCTTAAGCTTCAATGGGTGTGTGTATTTGCACCGTTGGGAGAGAGCTGGGTTTGGGGCCGAGGGGTGTGTGTGTGTGTGAGGGCAGATGTGGAATAAATCGTATGTGTAGTGAGTAGATTAATTAGAAATTAATTTTTTGGTGTGTGTAGTGAGAAAGATGTGCAAAGAGGGTATTTGGTGTGTGTAAATAGATGCTCCCTCCTTTGTGTGATATGTATTGAAATTTCCAATTCACCTCTAATTTTGTTAGACAAACTCCAACACACTGTTTGGGTACAGAGAAAATGAAGGAAAATAGCAGGGGACAAAATTGTTACGTTTGTCTTTGTAGTTATTGTTGTTTACGATTAATCAAGAATTTAACACAAGTGAGTCCAACTTGATAAAATAAAAAAAGAATTAAAAAAAAATTGAAATCAAATTGTAGTTTTGGGCTAATTTTCCTAGACTTTCTTTGCTAACAAACAAGAAATATTTTTTGGAGTGTTTATTTGAACATAATTTTCTTCGTTTGCAAGATTTGGATATGTTGTGGGTTCATCCAGATAATATTATCATTCAGATTTTTTGGTGTGGTGGTGGTGGTGTTGAGTTGGGGGAGGAGGAGGTGGTGATGGTGCGGTGGCGAAGGTGGTACCTTTTTAAATAGGTACTCATGTCTAATCCATTTAAACCCAATTTTAAATGAGTTTGCGAGGTGTAATCTTATCAAACCCCGTTTATGGATTTGGCCAGGTTTTGAATGGGTAATATTGGGGGTTCATGGATTTGGGTTGGGTTGAGTTGAGTTTACCATCTCTAGTCACAGGTATGCTTTTAAATTGTGGAGTATTTTGCTATGAATACTCAAGTAACCCATGCTGAATTATTGATGCATTTGTGACAATTTTGCAAGACAATACAACTCATTGAATGGCTATTCTTCCATAATCTCATGTCATTATAATTGCCCCTCTATTACCATCATCTGATATCCTAATTATCTTTTCAACTTCTTCAACTCTAAAATAGAATAGGAACTGAAGAAGAGTTATTGAAATGTCAACTATGCTAAGAGTACAAACCTGTTGGTCTTAACAATATCAAATTTAGTCATCTAATCAAAGAGACCAAGTTGCAATCTCTAGATTTTACACAAATAGAAGGAGAGTGTCTAATGCTTAAATCAACATTATGATTGAATAAGTATTTCATTCTAGTTCACCAAACATAGCATAAAAGCTTAAATATCCATAGAAAGTGCCTACAAGCAGCAGTAAGAGAAACAAAGAGAGGGAGAGTGTCTAATTGATAATTGCCAAATTAGGAAACTTACAAACAAAGTCTAATTCAGTTAGAACCAAAAGAAACTTTTGTATCTCAAAAATAGAATCATAGTCAAATAGAACAAAAGGCTTTGATCAAAATGTATAGATCTATATATGTTGAATCACCAAATATCAAATAAAACAATAACAAATCAAATGTGAGAAGTAAAATAATTGAATGAAATTTATGAGACAGAGATAAGAATTCGTACAGGACTAGAGTACAAAGTTGACGCCATAAACTTACTCTAGTTCAAAACAATTTTGAGGACCAATTCAGTTTCGATCAAATCACCTACATGCTTTTTAGATTCAGCCCCGTGAATAGATTATTCGAATCACAAGAAGAAACAATTTCATAGATTCAAGCCAAGCTTAAGTAATTTGAGCTAAATTTAATCAGAGAGATGAATTATTTAAAATCGATATAAGATCAACAATGTCATAGAGGTGAGAAAACTAGTTCAAAAAAAATTAAAAGTTTCGATTATTTATGGTAATATTCAAATCAAATTCAAGTCATTTGAACAATTTGTTTGGGGTTCTAGTTTTTTTGATCAGCGAAGAAAAAGTAACTATTATTGATGAATACGGAACAAAGGAATACATCAATAAAGAAGACGAGGGAGGGGTGCAAAGAGCATCATAGCGAAACAAAACAATCCCAACTAGGTTGGCACTGTTGAGAACGCCCAATCATATGCTAGCACACCGCCAAAAGATGGTGAGTTGGCGAGAAACCAACCACAAACAACAAACTCACACCAAAGATCAACCAAACCTAAGACATGCCAAAACCAACAGATAGGAATCCTAGCACCAGCCAAACAGCAAAATAAAACCAACAATAAGCCCTCTGCTGCAGCATCCAGACAGCAAACCACACACACTGACAGATAGCATATGACATTCAGAGGGCCTCTGCACTGCCTTCCCAGTCCAGAACCTAGCTGATACATACCACTCTGTCACCAATCTGCATACATACCAATCTGCTACCAATCGCACTGCTGCCAATCAGTAGAGGGTGATCTTTTCTTCCTTGTTTCCATCAGCAATCCATAACAGCTAACCAGCAGAGGATGGACATAACCTCACAACAATGCAAGAGTATTAAACAGAGGCACACAGAGGCACACAGCCACCCCCTGGAGGCCAGAAACTCCACCCTACTGCTGCTAGGCAGTAGGACACAGCAGTAGACCCAGGCAGATTCTAGAACACTTCAGTAAGGAGCACCTGCAATGTTAGACTGAAGGACACTTCTGTTGCCTGGCCAACTCTGAACTGCCATGACCACCTGGCCAACTCTGAACTGTCATGACCACCAATCATATCAACAGCCAACCAACCAAATGAACACTTTTTCACTCAACCTCCATTTGTAATGCAGAACTTCACCTGTGACAGGTTGAAAACCAAGTCATTAATAGAAAACTCCACCTGGGTTGGTGAGGCTTTGAGCCACATAGCTACACGAACCTTCACTATTTCACATAGGTCTTCCAAGTTTGGTTGAGAGCCATTAAAGATGCAATCATTTCGATGCTTCCATGTAGACCAGAGGATAGCCAAAGGAAGAACCTTCCAAATTTTCTTTTCCAGCTTCTTCATTCTACAACCATCCCATCAATTCAACAGCCCATTCACTGAACCTGGTAGCACCCATTGCATACCCCACCATCGGACAATGTTGGACCAAAGCAACCAAACGAAAGGACAGTACAATAGAATATGTTCCACAGTTTCAATCTCATTGTGGCAGAAGACACAATCCAGATTTACATTCCCTGTTAGAATACCAATTCTATGAAGGAAACTCGAAGTTTTAATCTTACCCAGCCAAGCCATCCACCCAAAACATTGAACTTTTGGAGGAGCAAAATTATTCCAAATTGAAGCAGCCACAGGTAGTATAGGTCCCAAATGTGATTCACTCCAAAAATATACTGAGGAGACAGAGAAAGTATTAGATGGGTCTGCACCCCATATGAGCTCATCAGATCTGGAATTGCACAGAATTGGTGCAGAATTCAGCAAATGAAAAAGTCTGTTAGCTTCTTCCTCCTCCCATACCAACAGAGGTCTTCTGAAGTCCATGTTCCAGCCACCATTCTCTTCCTTTTTTTTCGAAAAACACCCTTACCACACCATTTTTATCTTTAGATAAGGAAAAGAGCCTTGGGAATTCCTCCATTAGGCATACATTACGCACCCACTTGTCTCTCCAAAATCGAGCTCTTCTCCCATCCCCCAGAACAATCTGAGCATTAGAAATATAAAAGTGATGTAGCTCTGGATTGGACATTACAGCTTGAATAATATCCGACCAGATCTTGGATTCTCTGCTTATTAACTGTGGTGTCCATCTTCCATCCAATGACACATACTTGGAGCAGATCACTTCCTTCCAAAGGGATTTATTCTCTACACCAAATCTCCACCACCATTTCAGCAAGAGACATTGATTGAAACTTTTTATCCTCCTCAACCCTAACCCACCTAAATTCTTATTTTTAGAAACCACCTCCCATCGGACCATATGTATTTTCCTTCTAAGATCGGATCCACCCCAAAGAAATGCAGATTGTATTCTCTCAATTTCCTTTGCCACTCCAGCAGGGATTCTAAACAGTGAAAGATAGTAGATGGGCAGATTAGACATAACCGATTTAATAAGAGTTAAGCGCCCAGCAAAAGATAACAACCTTCTCTTCCATGTTGACAATTTTTGTTTGAACTTATCAAGAACAGGTTTCCAAGTACTCCTCCTGCTGGGATTAGCCCCCAAAGGAAGCCCCAAGTATTTTAGAGGCAATTTATGGTGGCAACAATTTAAGGAAGAAGCAAACTCCTGCATCGAACCGTCGTCTACCCCAATCCCACAGATAACACTCTTGTGATAATTAATTCTCAGACCTGATACAATCTCAAAGCATCTTAGAATTCTTTTAATGTTTCCCACCTCCTCTTTATCCGCATTACAGAACAAAATCGTATCATCTGCAAATTGCAAGTGCGTGATTCTCAACCCACTAGAGCCCACCACCGCCCCTTGAATTAGGCCCAGCTGTCTGGCTCTGCTCAGCAAAATATTCAGACCTTCTGCTACAATGTTGAATAGAAATGGTGACAATGGGTCTCCTTGCCTCAGGCCTCGTTGTGGACAAAACTCAGATGTTGGTGACCCGTTCACCAAAACGGATATCTTAGCTGAGGAAACACAAGTTTTCATCCATTGTACCCAACGCGATCCAAAACCAAACTGTTGGGTCCCTATGTTGTCAAATCCGGAGACAAAACATTGTGTTGATTCAAATGTAATTGTTTGTGTTTTTGTTCTGTCCGCTCGAGCGGAGACGTGTGAGCTCGAGCGGAGATTAGCAGGTCTCAGTAGTTTGTCAGGGCAAGTAACAAATACTGGTGGGTGTGATTTTCCGCTCGAGCGGATTCTACTATGCTCGAGCGCATCTCAGTTTGTTTTGCACGCAGTTTTTGGTCAGTCCGCTCGAGCGGGCTGTGTTAAGCTCGAGCGGAGATCGCGGATCCAGATTCCTATTTAAAGCTGATAAGGGTGTTTTTGTGAGATAGTTTTTTCTAGATCTGATCTAAACGAACTAGGGTTGTGTTTAAAGTTTTCTTTGGAGATTTTTCATAGTTTTCCTTGATGTTCTTGAGAGAGTTCTGAACTTATGCATTGAGATTCATACGTCAAGGAGGTTGCTTCTTAAGTTACAAGAAAGTTCTCTTCGGTGGACTCCGAAGATTAAAGCGTAGAATTCAAAAGGCGTTTGATTCTACGCAGTCGTTAATTCGACAAGTGGAGTTGTGGTGTAGAATCAACTTCAGGATCAATTCCGTGACGAAGGTGTGGTGAAAAGAGTTACAGAAGATTCAGAGACAAATTGACTGGGTTGGGTAATTTGTATTGTATCTTTGTAATCTTTTTGTTCTTCAGTAGTGGATTGATAGTGGCGTTTCGCCCATGGTTTTTTATTACAATTGAAGGTTCTTCAATTGTGGTTTTTTCCACGTAAAAAATCGTTTGTGTCGATTTATTGTTTATTCACAAAAACAAACAAACTAAAATCACTCTCGTAAGTGTTTGATGATTTTAGGTTGAGTGTTTTGATTTAATTAGGTTTTGGAATATGTTAATCTTGATCTAATCACAAATCACATAGGATTTTCAATTGGTATCAGAGCAGGTCACTCTTTGTTTTTTCAAAACTATAGGAGTGTGATTTTGTGTGATTAGTATCATGGATTCTATTCGTGAAGGTAACTCGACTCATAGACCCCCATTACTTGACGGTACAAACTATTCTTATTGGAAAGCTCGTATGAGAGCATTTTTAAAATCCATCGATGAGAAAGTTTGGCACTCCGTAATCTTTGGGTGGAGTGAACCTACAATCACCGTTGATGGGATTGATATTCCTAAACCCCTTGATAAATGGGACACAACCGATTACCAGAATTCGAGTTGGAACAGCAAAGCTCTCAACTCCCTCTTCTGCTCTGTCACACCTGAAGAATTCCGTCGAATTTGCACGTGTGAAATAGCAAAAGAGGGGTGGGATATTCTTGAAAAAATTCACGAAGGTACTACCTCGGTCAAAAGGTCAAAACTTCAACGTCTCATGTCTGCCTTTGAAACCCTTTTTATGCGCGACGATGAGACGTTCGATGAATTTTATGCAAAACTCAGTGATATCGTGAATTCTTGTTTCACTCTCGGTGAAAAAATCCCGGAAGCAAAAGTTGTTGGAAAAATTTTGAGGTCCCTTCCCGAGAGGTTCCAACCAAAGGTGACAGCCATTGAGGAGGCTCAGAATGTTGATACCCTCAAGCTCGATCAATTGGTTGGAAATTTGCAGACTTATGAAGCCCACCAAATTTCTAAGAAAAAGCAAAAAGAAAATTTAGCTTTTACGAGTGCCCATGAGACTGCAAAACCTTCGGAGACTGAATTTGATTTAGAGTCTGAGATGACGGCTATGCTTACAAAACAGTTTAAAAATTTTTTGAAAAAGAAGCCGAATTTCAGAGCCCCTATTTCAAAAGATAAGAGTAATGACAAACCCAAAACTGTTCCACCAAAATTTGCTCAAACTACTGAAAAAAAGTTTGTAAGGGGACCAGGGGTCAAGTGTTATGAATGTCAAGGGTTTGGCCATATGTCTCTTGAATGCCCTTCGAAAAAGAATCGGAAGAAAGTCTACACCGTAACTTGGGATGATGAAAGCGGGTCGGAGCAAGAACCCGAAGAGCCTGAATCCGGTGAAGATAGGGATAGTGCTTTCATGGCGTTTTGGTCCACTTTCTCTCAAACTCTTCCAAAGCCTGCAGAGTTAGCTCTTGGTCAGAACCTGCATCATGCTCCTACCTTTGATGGGAGTAACTACCTGTTTTGGAAAATCAGAATGAGAGCTTTTCTGAGAGCTTTTGATCCAGAAGGCTGGCAGGCCATTGAAGAAGATACAGACAGGGCTGACAATCCGAGCAATCAGAGAGCCCTGATCACTATTCATGGGGCAATTTCTCCTGAAAAACAGCAACGGGTTGTTCATTGCACAAAGGCTAAAGAGGCATGGGAAATTTTGAGCCAATTCCATGAAAGAGAAAATTCGCCTTCACTACCATCCAGCAACCTTCCTGTCTTAGTTGCGAGACTGGATGAGGTCAAGGAGAATGAAGAGCAAAAAGAGGATGATGAAATATCTGAGGATAATGATGAGATCAATGGCGATGAACTACAACAAGCCTACGAAAAGCTGTACGAGTAATCTTTGAATTTGTCCAAACTTAACGACAAACTCTCTCTCAAGCTCAAGACATGTGAGAGTGAGAATGTCAGGCTGAAAGGAGAACTTGTAGCAGCAAAGCAGAATATCGTCAAGATCTCGAGTGACAGGCAAGACTTATGTGGAAAATTACTATCCTGTGAAACTGAAAGGAATGAACTTCTGAAGGTGTATTCCACATATGAAGAAAAGCTTGAAAGTCTTGAGCTGTCACAAGCCAGATTGGAAGAGATAGTCTGTCAAAAGGATGAAGAGCTTCGGGTTGCTAGAGCCACTATTGCCATGTGGAACAAAGGTTCCAAATCTTTAGAAGACATCCTCGGGTCTCAACAAATGGGTTGCGACAAAAGCGGGTTAGGCTATGGTTCAACAGCTCACAAGGGTCAGGCCTCTACTTCACATGACAAGAAGACTCAAGCAAAGGGAAAATTGAAGGTAGACCAGGCTGATCTCTCTCTCCGTCTACCTAAAGCTGGTAAAATCAACAAAAAGGAAGTAAAACCGGTTTTTATTTGTCATCACTGTGGTAGGTATGGCCACATTCGTCCTTACTGTTTTGAACTGTTTGGTAAGGTGTCTCAAAAGGGTAGAAATTCTAATACTTTTTGGGTTAGGAGACAACCTTACATGTCTAGGCTGAACACCAAGACTAAAAAGAAGACTAAAAAGATTTGGATTAGAAAAGAGGATTTGACTTGTTTTGTTGCTCACACTGCACTAAAAGCACGTGATTCACACATGTGGTATCTTGATAGTGGGTGTTCTCGTCATATGTCCGGTAACAAATCCTACTTCACCTCCCTTGAAAAATATGAAGGAGGAATTGTTACCTTTGGAGATGGCGGCACTTCGAGAGTCATTGGTAAGGGCTCTATAAGTGTTGCTGGTCTTCCCAAGCTAGATAATGTTCTACTAGTTGACGGTCTTAAAGCAAATCTTTTAAGCATTAGTCAAATGTGTGATTCCCATCATGAAGTATTGTTTTCAAAAAATAAATGTGAAATTTTGGATAAAAAGAGAAATACTGTCTTACATGGGGTTCGCACATCTGATAACTGCTATGGGATTGTTACAACTAATGATCTCACTTGTCACTCTGCCATCATAAGTAACATTGATTTGTGGCATCAAAGATTAGGTCACATGAATTTCAATGACCAAACTAAGATAGCCAACAAAGAGCTTGTGAGAGGAGTTCCTAAACTAGGTAAGAATTTGAGCCATGTGTGTGGACCATGTCAGCTTGGCAAGCAAACCCGTGCTCCTCATAAAAAAGTGAACAGCTTTACAACCAAACGTCCTCTCGAATTGGTTCACATGGATTTAATGGATCCTACTCGCACTGAAAGCATCGAAGGTAAAAGGTACATTTTTTTAACTGTTGATGATTGATTCTACTATGCCTATCGAGCCGCATCTCAGTTTGTTTTGCACGCAGTTTTTGGTCAGTCCGCTCGAGCGGGCTGTGTAGCTCGACGGAGATCGCGGATCCAGATTCTATTTAAAGCTGTAAGGGTGTTTTTGTGAGTAGTTTTTTCTAGATCTGATCTAAACAACTAGGGTTGTGTTAAAGTTTTCTTTGGAGATTTTTCATAGTTTCCCCTTGATGTTCTTGAGAGAGTTCTGAACTTTGCATTGAGATTCATACTCAAGGAGGTTGCTTCTTAAGTTCAAGAAGTTCTCTTCGGTGGATCCGAAGATTAAAGCGTAGAATCAAAAGGCGTTTGATTCTACGCAGTCGTTAATTCGACAAGTGAGTTGTGGTGTGAATCAACTTCAGGATCAAATTCCTGACGAAGGTGTGGTGAAAAGAGTTACAGAAGATTCAGAGACAAATTGACTGGTTTGGGTAATTTGTATTGTATCTTTGTAATCTTTTTGTTCTTCAGTAGTGGATTGATAGTGGCGTTTCGCCCTGGTTTTTAATTACAATTGAAGGTTCTTCAATTGTGGTTTTTTCCACGTAAAAAATCGTTTGTGTCGATTTATTGTTTATTCAAAAAAACAAACAAACTAAAATCACTCTCGTAAGTGTTTGATGATTTTAGGTTGAGTGTTTTGAATTTATTGGTTTTGGAATATGTTAATCTTGATCTAATCACAATCACATAGGATTTTCAATTGGTATCAGAGCGGTCACTCTTTGTTTTTTCAAACTATAGGAGTGTGATTTTGTGTGATTAGTATCATGGATTCTATTCGTGAAGGTAACTCGACTCATAGACCCCCATTACTTGACGGTACAAACTATTCTTATTGGAACTCGTATGAGAGCATTTTTAAAATCCATCGATGAGAAAGTTTGGCACTCCGTAATCTTTGGGTGGAGTGAACCTACAATCACCGTTGATGGGATTGATATTCCTAAACCCCTTGATAAATGGGACACAACCGATTACCAGAATTCGAGTTGGAACAGCAAAGCTCT